CATCAGCTTCTCAGGAGAAAGGGGAATAGGTTATAAGCCTGGCAGCCATGTGGTCACCAAATGAAGGAAAAGGGTATGGAGGGCCTCTCCTCATTCAGCATATTTACCCTCCTATTTTCAGTATGGTGACTTTCTAACATGTCTCCACCTTGTTCGGAGTCCCTAGGTATGGAGCTAATGTGACTCAGCTTCTCCAGGCAATAGACCTTGTGACATGTGGGGATACTTTGGAAGAATCTGTAATAGCCCTATAAAGTCAATATACTTTCATGCTTTCTGACAAAATTTATAATTATTGAATTATGAGACACTTTTTGCTCATGTGTAAAGTATGTCCCAACTAAAATAGTTCTTGCAAATATAGATTGTTGTCATTAAGTGCTGTCGAGTTGGTTCTGACCCATAACGACCCTGAATAGGGTTTCCAGTGAGCAGCTGGTGAGCTTGAACCGCTGACCTTGTGGTTCAAACTGACTTTGCAGTCCAGCACATTAACCCACAGAGCCAGCATTCACAAGAGTTATATTGAATATTTAGGAAAGTATTTATGTCACATTTTTCTATCTTCAGATTAGAACTTCCCAGATGCTATTTAACATTTAGCTTTTTTCTAGTTTATCTGATGATACCCTGATAGTCTGTTTTAGGATGGATGATCTGGCTCCACCATTGACTTATCTGGCTTTGCTCCTCTTTGAGCCTTTTTTCTTCATCTGAACCAGGAGAAACTAATAATAATAGTGCATGACTATTCAGAATTGTGGGAGCTTGATGTCTCTATAGAATAAGAACAGGACTGCAAACCACAAGGTCAGTGGTTGGAGCCCACCAGCCTCTCTGCAGGAGAAAGATGAAGCATTCTGCTTCAGCAATCTTTTTTTTTTTTTTTTTAAGCCCTCTGAAACCTTATACAGGGTCGTTGTGAGTTGAAACTGACACCACAGCACACATCAACAATTCAGAATTGTAAAGACCAAATGAAAGTCTGTATATGAAAAGTATGTATTATAAAGACCAAGTAAGTTTGAGTTTCGGTTCTGACTAAGAGCATTGTGCATAACAGGTGAAGTAGTCCCATGTCTTTGCCATCCTTACAGCTGTTGCTATGTTTGACTATGTTTTAAGGAAGGGTGGGGATACTGATAGCGTCCTTATGAATTCCAAAGTCCATTTTTCACAGTGCAGATGCATATTCCCTTTTAAACTTGTGTCTTATCATGAGGCTTTATCTATTCTGGTGAAAATTTAAAGCCTCGAAAAATCCCTATAGGGCCGCTATGAGTTAGAACTAACTTAATGTCACTTGACAGCAACATGTTTTAAGCACTTTAGTTCACAGAAACTTTCATTTTGATATTTGAAATATAGTCTTTTACATTTTCCTAATTTTAACTATGCACAAAGTATGTCCAGAGCCATTTACTACTTATTTATGGCAGTGTCAATGTAGAATATAATCAAGTGAAGACAGGGAAGTTATTATCAGGGCCTGTGTGTTTAAGGGTGAAAATAGAAATAAGATGAGAATATGAAGCTAAAAATTAGCTAATACTTGTTGTTCAGTGCCATCGAGTAAGTTCTGACTCATAGGGGCACTGTATAGGATATCCAAGGAGTGGCTTGGTGAGTTTGATCCACCGACCTTGCAGTTCAAATCAGCCTTGTAATCTAGTGCTTATCCTACAGTGCTTATAGTATGTCCTTGGGACTGATCTAAGAACTCACCATATTCCTTATAACTACCTAATGAGGTTGAAACTATTGTTACCATCTCTCTTTCACAGACTTGGAAACTTAGGCAAAACTAGCTGTGTTCACCTCTGGCTCATAGCAATCACATATGTGTCAGAGTGGAACTGTGCTTCTTAGGGTGTTCAATGACTGATTTTTTTTTTTTTTTTGAAGTAGATCATTAAGCATTTCTTTCAAGGTGTCTCTGGGTGGACTCAAACAGCCACATTTTTGGTTAACACCAGCTGCATTAACCATTTGCACCACACAGGTTAGCATCTCTTCTCAGGGCAGCACAAGCTCAGGCTCTCTAGCTTCATAGTTCATGCTCTTATCCATGGCACACCTCTGTCTCAAGATGTATCCAAGCAATCCCTTACCTATTTAGATGAAAATAGAATTGAAAAACAAACTCTTTAATGTATTATCAACCTAATTTATCATCAAGCTAATTCTCTCCTAAAAGTTTATAGGATTATTTTAATAACCTAAGTGCTGCAGACTACTGCTTCTTGACATAAAACAAACAGAGCAGTTGTGTTCAGTTCTTAGCAAAAAGGATGTGTGAGGAGGTCAAAAAAATAGAGATTTGAGGCTAAGCTTTAAGTCTTTTTCAAACTGTAGAACACATGATTCACCATTTCTTAAGAAACATCTTGGAACATATTTTCAAGTTAAGATAAAAAGGATCTCAGCTTCCTACTGGTATGCCCACTTAGGGAATATAGGCTTCTTTTAAATGCCTTAGAAATATTTTCTTGTTGTTTAATTCACTTAAATATATCGATGTTCACACTTCTCCACAGAGGGACACCTCCAAAGAAAGTAATTTTCAGTCTCAAAATTCTCTTTCATTTTTGAATACTGTCCCTTGTGTAACTGAGGCTATAAAAGGACTGTTTTCTCTTCTTTTAAATGTAGCATGCCTTAAGAACAGTAATTCCTTGAAGGCTCATACTTATTCCACAGTAAGAACTTTGTTCCCTGTATCAACTGTAATGTGTTTTAAAAATGTCAAAGAGATGATGTGGAGAGATGGAGCGGCTGGGGACTCTAGACCCAGAGAGGGAGAGGGATTGTGTGCTGATGAGCAGGAGGCAGGCTTGCAGGGTATACCCTTTGGTTGGTTGATGATGCATGGAGGGGATTGTAGCCATGGCAGTGAAACAACATATGATAGGATGAATGTAAAACTAATGTTCTCCCATGTAAACTATCACATAATTCACAATAAAACATTTTTTTTAATGGCAAAGATAAGGAGGAGGAAGCAATAAAGATATAAGTGTGATTAGAAACCAAGACCTAAAAGAAAGGAAATAGCTCTCCTGAGTGTCTTATGGCTATGTAGCAGTGATATGTGTCAGGTTCAAGAACTAGTAAGTGAGGATTATTAAGTGCCTCTGTGTTTCCAGTTCTTCACTAGGCAGGAGGCACAGACAGGCTCCATCTCTGCTGCCTTCATGGAACTCACACTGTAGTGGGTAGATGAGTAGTAACAATGTGTGGCAAATGCTAAGATTGGGAGTGGGGGACTGACCATTTAAATGAAGATGATTGGTCTAGCAGTGGTCCACAATTTAGGATCCCTTCAGAGGGATAGATAAACAAGAGTAAGTAAAAAAGTATAGATATAGAGTTCCAGTTCATACATACATTGGTTTATTACAAACAGAATGTGTCTAAACATCGTTCTGTGATCAGCGGATGATTGCAGATAAGTTCTCTCAATAGTGCACTTGTCTAAGTCTTGGGTGGTATTCATGGTATGGTGCTATTCTGTCACTTCCAACTCACAGTGACCCTGTCCTTGTGTGGTGCTCTGGGTTAATGTGCTGGACTACAAGGTCATTTTGAACCACAAGTCGGTGGTTCAAGCTCACCAGCCACTCCCTGAAAACCCTATACAAAGTCTCTACGAGTTTGAACCTACTCGACGGCACTTCATAACAACAACAGTAGGATTTCTGGGGCTGTAGAGCAAAGATGGCAGCTTGAGGACTAAGGTGCACCTGACCCAAGCCAAGGTATTTTCAGTAACCTCATATGTGTGTTAAAGCTGGACAGTGAAAGTGCCATGGACTGCCAAAAGAACCAATAGATCTGTGTTGGAAGAAGTGCAGCCAGAGTGCTCCTTGGAGGCCAGGATGGCCAAACTTTGTCTCTCATACTTCGGACATATTGTCAGAAGGGACCAGTCACTGGAGGTCGAGGGTCAGAGAAAAAGAGGAAGATCTCCAGCGAGATGGATTGGCAAAGTGGCAGCATCAATGGGCTCAAGTGTGGCAACAATTGTGAGGTTGGCTCAGGACTGGGCAGTGTTTTGTTCTGTTGTGCATAGGGTCGTTATGAGTCGGTACTGACTCTATGGCACCTAACAACAACAAAATTATGTGAGCAGAAAACCTCATGTTTTTCTCCTTCAAGTCTTGTTAGAGTACCCTTAGAAAAATGGTCCAGTCAAAACAGTGACTTCTGAGGGGATCTGCTGAGCCAATGGAGTCAACTCAAAAGGTTATAGAGACTGTTCACTGGGGACTCCAAAAGGATAATTTGATAAATTTTATTGAAGGACACAGGAGGATCACGGGACTTACAGAGAAATTTTAAGAACATGGAAAACTGTATTGATGATAAAAACACCAGAAAAGCTGCGCCAAATAATTTTTTCTATCACAACAATGTACCTGCGCATTCTTCAAGGGTTATCCTATGAGAGTTTCATTGGGAAATCTTACCCCATCCACCTTACATCCCTGATCATGTTCCTTCAGATTTTTTTTCCCAAAACACAAAGAATATTGAAAAGGAGCATGATTTAAGTCCCTCCAGAGTGCCAAAACTGCTGTTTGGGCCTGGTGTACGTAGAAGAGCACAGAATCCATCAGGGAAGGGTTAGAGAGAAACACTGCCATATGGAATATACATTAACTACAGTAGCTTCACAATTTTTTATTCTTTAATAAAGGTTTCTGTGACTTTGTAGAAATACTTTTGGACTTATCCTCGTATACTTCCAGTCAAGTATAGTAGAGTCTGTCTTCCTATTCCTGGGTTGTCTTTGTTATTGTCATCATTGTTAAGTACTACTGAGTCAGTTCTAACACATAGTTTATAATCTATTTCTTTGTAACATTTTTTTTTTTTTTGCCAAGTAAAAAATCTGTTCCTTTTTATTTTACCTTTTTTGCCTTATTTTCATTTATAAATCCTTTTATAACCGAGAGTTCTTAAAAGTCTAAGAAATTGAATACTTTTGTTCTTGTTAGAATTTCTCTGCAAAGAATGTCCAAAAATTCATATTCACATTGATCGAATAGACAAAAAAGATGTCCCGGAAGAACAAGCATATATGAGAAGATGGCTTCATGAACGTTTTGAAATTAAAGATAAGTGAGTAACAACAGTTCCAGCACTTCAAAACTTTTGGTTCCACTATATTTCACTGTAGTAAACAGTTGGAAGTAACTTAGATATTTTTATTATCTTAACATTTTTTATGAACCCAAATCATTTCTTATGTCATGCATAATCTATTCATACTTTAAGCTTCAATTTTTACTTCACCGTAAAAGAACCTCTCTATTTTCATTTATAGTCATTTCATAGATTTATGCTTTATGGTAAAATAGAAAAATTGGCAAAACAAAAAAACCCTTCCTTTGTTAGATGCTCAGAATCTGGCTTTGCAGGCCATATAATGTGTTCTTGGGTAAGGATCAGCCATCATGCCAAAGGGAGTGGGAAAAAACAAGGCTGTGGAAATAGAGGATTTTGTCCAATGTATATATTTGCTTTATTTTTTGGAGGAGGAAGGGGCAATTGAATTTTTTACTTTAAAAAAAGTTTTTTTTTGGTACTAGTATTTTTTAGCTTAAACGTATTCTGGGCTGACCTGTTTGTCTATGCTAATAATATCAATTTTGAACAAACAATATTGAGCTTTGCTGAAAGTTACCAGCCAATAAATTAATAAGTTGTGAGCATATTCAAATAACTCGTAAGTGAGGCATAATGTAAAGGGGTTAGCCTGACTGAGTTAGTGTCATGTGGCACTCATTCAATAGAAACCCTGGAAACACCAGATGACAGTAAGAGAGCATATTTGTATCTCTGATTAAATTCAAGATAAAATTAGAAAGTTTAGAATTTCTTCTCGTAGGGAAAACTAAAATGTGAGGCTCAGAAGTAGATGTATTTGAAGATTAAATTTTGTTACATAAGAATACTTTCTTGGATGAAACTTCAGGGTTGTATGATGTTTTTTTACTGTGAATTTTGCTATAGGTAGAAAGAAGTTTTATCATTTCTGATGCATTTCCTCCTGTTCTTTGAGAGATATATTTTAAACATCTTTAATTTTTATTCTTCGCTTTCAAAAGTTGAATCAATTGTTAAAGGATGTACAATTTAGTAAGCCATTTTGAAAAGTATTTTTTAATGTCAAAAAACAATTCCAAAATTTTATTTACATTGAGAAATATATCCAAATATTTTATTCACCTAATATGATCCTTCTCAGAAAACTATCATTGTTCTTTCTTTCCCTGTTTTATTGCAGTACTTTTTTATTAGCCCATTTTGACTAACTGACAAGTAAAAATTATTGAAAGTATCATCAATTGAAAATGAAATAAATTTTATGCTGATATATAAATAATTTCTTTTTATGTATAATTTCTACTTTTCATTAACTCTCAGTTGTACATGGTGTAATTTATTATACCAGTCTCTCAGGACTGTTTTGGCCATGGGAGCAAATTTAAAAGTAAGATCTATGTGTACTGACATGAAATTATAGTCTTCAGAAAAGACTAACCAATATTTTTAATAGCCAGTTTATCTTATTTTGTGCTTATATGTATTTAGGATGAGTCTGGACCTATTTTGACAGTGATTATCCTCTAAAGAATATGTATGATTTAGGAAACAATACAAGGGCTTTCCTTTTCTATACTTGCATGTTTGAGGGTTTTGTCTTGAGTATGTTCTGCTATTACAATATAGCATTTTTTAATGTTGTTGTTGTTGTTAAGAGCCATTGAGTTGGTTCCAGCTCATAGCAACCCTGTTTAAGGTTTCCAAGGAGCGGCTGATGGGTTTGAACCACTGACCTTTCAGTTAGTGGGAAAAAAGTTAACTATGACTTCTTTTTTAAATTTGCTTTTGCAGTTCCATGCAAATGAGAGCTTTTTGAGAAATCCATGTATGTTATAAAAACTGCTAATCTTTCCACTGATTTAGAATGGAAGCTGCAGCAAGGAGGATATAAGGATTGGGGAAAGTAGAAGAACTGAGTTGAGTTATTACTCAATCTTGAGTTAGGTCACTGAAAAATTATACACCTAAAGTTTAAAATCTCTCCATAAAATTACTTAAAGCCATCTGTTTTTAAATATTCCATGCCAGATAATTTGCGTATCTAATCAGAGAACATGAAATCTATTTCCAAAGTCTAGAGACTCCTGTTACATCAACTCTCTGATTGTGTCCTTATTCATATTTGTTTTGTGAAGACCTGTAGCTTCCACACTCCTGGTGTGGCACTATAGGATTAGCACTGGACTGTGAAGCACAAAGTTGGCAGTTCAAACCACCAGCTGCTCCAAGGTCTCTATGAGTCAGAATTAACTCAACAGCACTTAACAGCAACAACATAACTTCCCCAGCACAAAATAGGTAACCATTTACATATTTATTGAACTGAAATATTGAGATGGCTAAAACAGAAACCTTACATTTTATTTATTTTACTCTGGCCATAGGTTGCTTATAGAATTCTATGATTCACTGGATCCGGAAAGAAGAAACAGATTTCCTGGAAAAAGTGTTAATTCCAAACTAAGTCTTAAGAAGACTTTTCCATCATTATTGATCTTAAGTGGTTTGACTGTTAGTATGCTTATGACAGATGCTGGAAGGAAACTGTATGTAAAAACATGGGTATATGGAACCTTAATTGGCTGCTTATGGGTTAGTATTAAAACATAAAGAAGTAGTTATCTCCAATCAGTGGATGGGCTTCACTGTCTCTTTATGATAGCTGCACATGACATCAAATTGTTCATTGAATTTGCTAAGAAGTGTAAATAAAGCCTTGTTGATTGAGCATTGGATAAAATAGAATTTCTGTTTAAAGCCTATATGAAGTTGGTCTTGGGCAGACATACATGATTTTACAACTTTAGTTTTGACATTGTTGGAAAGGTAAAAGTTAAATGGAGTTTATGTTATATTTTTCATTTCCCATGAACTAATGTCAACTACAGAAGATTATTGGAACTGTTTAAGTTGTTATTGCTATGTTATTCAGCTGGTTGTATTTATGAATATTAATTTGAACAATATATATCACTGTAATTGTTATTTTCAACTTTTTACAACTCTGATCACAAAAGCATCTACTGTTGTACAACTATGTAATATTTTTCTTTTGCTTAGTTTCTCTAAATCAATCAAAGAAATTCTGATTAAGTATCAAGATGTTCAAGGAAAAAGGCATAAGAGAAAGTTGAAGTGGGGAGAAGCTCTGTTTAGCACCTGTTTTTACTGTATTACATTATTAGCTGATTTCACTTACTTTATATTGCAAAATAATTAACATTTCTAATATTTACTGAAACGTCTTGATTTGCACACCCTGTACGCTACACAAAAGAATGTATAATGTATGAGAATTAATTTTAAGTTAAAAATGTGGGCTGTGATCCAATGTAGCAGAACTTGAACTTGCCCAGGTAACAAATATTTTTAGCTAAGCCTTTAGTACTTTGCAACATCTGTGCCATAAGTATTTGAGAATATTAAGATTTCCTGTTTGTTTTTTTATTTTGTTTTGTTTTTTTAACATCAAAATAATCAGTGTAAACTTTTATTGGGCTCTCTGTCCAGAGAAATTTGAAGTAATAGAGGCCTTCAAATGTTCAAACTAGATTTACTAGCATGTGCCTTTTGCCTATTATTCTTTGATTTAGCAAAATATTTAACCAGAACTTGTTTTTAATGTTGTCATGGTAGACTTCTACTGCATTCTAGTCCTTTTCATTTGGATTAAAGTCATTGGTGCTATTCAATGGCTTGCACAGTAGACTTTCTAAGAAGAAATAACATAACCAACCAGTATTCTGTCTTAAAGTCAAACTCTTTAAACTCTTATAAGCAAGCTTCACCAGCTACTGCAAAGACATTTTGCATTTGTCTTATGTCAAGAAAGTCACCTTCCTCAAATAATTCAACAGACTTTATTCAACAAGACTGAATGAATTTGTTTATTTCCCATTACTTTTAATGGGGTTACTTGATTAACATGCATCACCTCAAAATGAGAGCTACAATCCGGAACCAAATTACACAGTTTTCATTCATGGAACAGTATATCCTGTGGAAGACAAGCTTTCTAAAAAATGTTATCTGCTCTATTTTATATTATAATTTAAACTTGTCTACTTGTCTTTTAAGATCACATTTCTGCTTACAACTAATGGATACTTGTTTCAAAGTTGTCGGTGACCCAGATAAAACACACCAGCTGAATGCTGATAAAATGAAAAGGGGGAGTTTTGTCTGTTTTATACTGCTTCTCCAAAGCCAGAGAGTAAGCTATTTCAATCAATACTCTTAAAGAATTGTGTGATGTGAATTGATGTGTATGTTCATATGTATACACACATTTTCACAGGATACAGTTGGTCTCATTATAAATGGGGGCATATGTAAAGCTTTTGAAAAGTTCTTTCGTGTTAAATTGTAATTTTCTCTTATTTGTGAAGTGAAATTTTGTTAACTAAAATTTTTAACAGTCCTAAAGTTAAAACCTATTTCTAACTAGATTAAGATAAGTTGAACTTGTATAACTTATTTTGAATATCATGGATATGCTCAAATTAAAAAGTGATGCCCTTGGAATTGTGTGAATTATAACTGATTAAGTATGCAAAGGGACCTGCATAAGATCACCTGTTTTGTTCTGACTATACTTACACTCCTCTCACAAAAAGTCTACAATATGTTAATTTTTTTTTTCCCCAATCAGGATGTTTGGAAAATTAGAAGCTTTTCCTCGACATGCGTTAATACTGCATTAAATTATTTTCTAAAATTAAAAGCCCTATGCTTTACTGTAATTCTGTTTCACATATCATTTAATCTTTTGTTTGTATTAGTATTGTTTATTTACAACTTAGTTGTTGACGTACTGTTTCTTTATAAGAATGCCATCAATATGCATGCTTTTATGTTTTTCAGGAAAAGGGTGTGTTTCCATGAAAGTTAAAATAAAATCTTTCACTCTCTCTGATGTCTGTGCTATTTAACATTTTGTGAACCAAAAATTCACCAATAGTCGCCTATTAAATAAAATAGGTGTCTTAACTGGCCCTGCATTCTGAATTTCTAAAGCCATATTATTTTCTTAGGTGTTGAGCAAGTTAATGTACTCGAAATTGTGAAGCAGCGATTTTACTTTCCTTATATAAACTTACATATTTAATTTATATTACAGGAATCCTGCTGTGGTGCTGTAGGATAGGCACTGGACTGCTAACTGCAAGGTTGGAAGTTCAAACCTGCTGACCTTTCTTCAGAAATCCTATAGAGGGTCACTATGAGTTGGAACTGACTCAATGGCACTTAAAAACAACAACATGTAATTTATAGGATGCATGGCAAGATTTAATTGCTTGACAGTTTTATAATCATAAAGGTAGCTGCCAGTGAACTTGTCAACTGTCTAAAATTAGCCAGACTTGGTGAGTAGGCATACCAGTCAGATTAAATATATGGGATAATTCCATTATCCTTTAATTCCATTTTTCCATGAACTTTTTTGAAGCCTCTTCATATTTAAGATGGAAAAATGCCTGTCAAAGTATTATATTCAATTCCAGGCATTTAGGAAAAAAACAAATTTTAACTGTAATACTGTTTGCTCTTGATGAAGTATCAGATTAAGAAGAATATTTTCTTGGCAATGTTAATACAGTTTAGATAACAGCCTGTGCTTAACAAATTGAAGTGGAATGGTGTTGCATTCATTGTCAAAAAGAACATATCCAGATCAGTCACGAAGTACAACGCTGTCTGATAGGATAATATCCATGTGCCTACAGGGAAGACCAGTTAATACCACTATTATTCAAATTTACACACCAACCATTAAAGCCAGTGAGGATGAAAGAGAAGAATTCTACCAACTTTTTCAATCTGAAATTGATCAAACATGCAATCAAGTATATTGACCATTACTGGTGATTGGGATGCAAAGGTTGGGAACAAAAAGAAAGGATGAGTAGTTGGAAAATAGGGCCTTGGTGATAGAAATGATGCTGGAGAATGCATGATAGAATTCTGAAAAATCAATGATTTGTTCATTTCAAATACCTTCTTTAGACAGCATAGGAGACGACTGTACACATGGACTTCACCACATGGAATACATAGAACTCAAATTGACTGCATCTGCGGAAACAGGCAATGGAAAACCCCATATTATCAGTGAAAACCAGGCCAGGAGCAGACTGTGGAACAGACCATCAATTACTCATATGCAAATTCAAACTGAAACTGAAGAAAATGAAAATAAGTCGACGAGAGCCAAAATATGACCTTGACTATATCCCACCTGAATTTAGAGATCATCTTAAGAATAGATTTGATACATTAAACACTTAAAACCAAAGAACAGAAGAGTTGTGGGATGACATCAAGAACATCAGATATGAAGAAAGCAAAAAGTCATTGAGAAGACAAGAAAGAAGGAAAAGGTCAAAATGGATGTCAGAAGAGACACTGAAACTTGCTCTCCAGCATAGAGATGCTAAAGCAAATGGAAGAAATAAGGAGGTCCAAGAGCTGAACAGAAAATTTCAAAGATCAGCTCAAGAAGATATGGCCAAATATTACATCAAAATGTGCAAAGATTTGGAATCAGAAAACCAAAAAGGAAGAACACACTCAGCATTTCTCAAGCTAGGGGAACTGAAGAAAAAATTCAAGGCTCGACTTTCATTATTGAAAAATTCTCTGGGAAAATTATTGAATGATGCAGAAAGCATCAAGAGAAGATGGAAGGAATACACAGAGTCACTGTACCAAAAGGAAACGGTTAATGTTCAACCATTTCAAGAGGTAGCATATGATCAAGAGCCAATGATCCTGAAGGAGGAAGTCCAAGGTGCATTGAAGGAATTGACAAAGAACAAGACTCCAGGAATTGATGGAATAAAAATTGAAATCTTTCAAGAAAGTGAGGCGGCACCGGAGATACTCAGTCATCTCTGCCAAGAAATTTGGAAGACAACTATCAGGCCGACTGATTGGAAGAGATCCATATTTGTGCCCATTCAAAAGAGATGTGACCCAACGGAATGCGGAAACCATGGGACAATCTCTTTGATATCCCATATAAGTAAAGTTTTACTAAAGGTAATACAGAAACGGCTGCAAGCATACATAGACAGAGAACTTTCAGAGGTTCAAGCCGGATTCAGAAGCGGTCATGGAACAAGGGATATCATTGTTGATGTCCGACAGATCTTATCTGAAAGCCGAGAATATCAGAAAGATATTTACCTGTGCTTTATTGACTACTCAAAAGACTTTCGATTGTGTGGATTATGACAAGCTATGGACAACATTGTGAAGTATGAGTCTTCTGGAACACTTAATTGTTCTCATGAAGAATCTGTACCTGGACCAAGAGGCAGTTGTTCGAACAGAACATATAAACACTGAATGGTTTAAAATTAAGAAATGTGTGCAACAAGGTTGTATTCTTTCACCATACTTGTTCAACCTGTTTGCTGAGCATATAATCTGAGAATCTGGGTTATATGAGGAAAAACGTGGCATCAGGATTGGAGGAAGACTCATTAATAACCTGCGATATGCAGGTAATGCAACCTGAAAGTGAAGAGGACTTAAAACATTTACTGATGAAGATCAAAGAACAGAGCCTTTGGTATGGATTAGATCTCAATGTAAAGAAAACAAAAGTCCTCACCAGCGTACCAATAGACATTCTTATCAATGGAGAAAGATTGAAGTTGTCAAGGACTTCATTCTTCTTGGATCAACTGTCAACACTCATGGAAGCAGCAGTCAGGAAATCA